CTATACAGTTGACTGAGAGATTTCAAATTATACTGAAACTGGTTTTGTGTCTGTTTTCAGGTACTATTTTATGAAACAGTTTAATAATTTTCTTGCCAGGATGATGCAGAAATATACTTAAGGATACTTGTTCCTTTATAGTTGCGAGATCATAATTGGATTTCTCATTTAACAAAGGAGTGAATTTGTTTATCTTAAAGTTAATCTTTAGTGAGAAACATGCCCATATTAAAACTTATCTACATGGTAGTTTTATTACTCACTGTAAGATTCTTAAACAAATTCTTCTTTTGTGATTGCAAACAGAGAAATAATCACTTCACTGCCTTTTTTTATGAAAAGAAGAAAAAATGCCTCAGGCTAAATGTTGCTGATCTGAACATCCAAAATCTGAAATGTTCCAAACTCCAAAACATTTCAAGCACAAAAGTAGAAAATTGTGTAACTGACTTACTGTGACATATCACATTCCAAACATAAGCACACTAAAAACATTCTGTTACCTTCAGGTGTATGTGTGTGAGACATATATGAATTTCATGCTTAGACTTAGGCCCCATCCCCAAGATTTCTCATTATACACACACACACACACACACACACATACACATATATATATATTCCAAAGTTTTAAAAACACAAAGCAGTGTAGATAAGGAATATTAACCTCTAGCAAAATTAGTATAATTATGTTATTATTTGATCTTATGTTTATTTGATAGAAATAAGTGTGTCTAAAAATGAGGAAAATTTAGGTTTAAAGGTGGTTTTACTTTATGTCATTATTTAAATAGATATTCACTATTAAAATGGGTTTAGATTTGAAAAAAGAACTCTCCAGTGCAGAAATATGCTTAAGTTTATGGGACTATTTGATAGTAAAAGAAAAAAATAGTGTACTGATAGTTGAGAAATGTGAAAGAGAGGCTGATGTGGCATAGTGGGTTTAAGCCATAGCTTGCAACACTGGCATCCCATATCAGTGGGCTAGTTTGAGCCCAGCTTCTCTGGTTTCATTCCAGCTCCCTGCTAATGCACCTGGGAAGGCAGTGGAAGATGCCAAGAGCTTGGTTCCCTGCCACCCTTTCAGGGGACCCTGATGGAGTTCCTAGCTCTGGGCATCAGCTTGCCACAGGCCTGGCTCTTGTGGACATTTGGGGAGTGAACTAACATGAGGAAAATCTGTTGCTCCCTCTCTGTCACTCTGCCTCTCAAGTAAGAAATAAATCTTAAAAAAAAAAGAAAAGAGAAAGAATTGTGGAAGACATTTAGGTCAATATGACTGCCATCTCTCAATGATTTTCTTAATTACTCCTTCCATTTAAACTTTATGTCTCCTTTATACTCTGCATACTTTTGTGCCAACACATTTAAGATTCTGTTATACTGATATGTTTACACACACATTTTGATATATCTGTAAATTTTTTAAAGACTGTAACAACATCTTTATCTCCAGTTTCCAATACAGGCCTGGGCCATTCAGTAAGCATTCATAAATGATTAAATAGTTGGTAGTGGATATAGATCATAGCTCTGAAAGGAAAACCGATTTGTAACTGTCATGAACATATCTGATTTAGTCATGTAGATGTTACACAAAATAATTTGTGTGCTGTTTAAGGTTAAATTATTTTTTTCTCCCCTTAGTTCTTTAGAAATAAGAATATCTGTTTATGTCATTACATTGCCAGCCTTCATTAAGGAATATGAATCCACACTTGCAATTAGAATGTTCCATTTATCATTGCATACCATTATTTAACAATGCAGGGACTTCTGCTTTGGGAAATACTGTATGCCAGTGTCTAAAAAGTCAGCAAGTAGGCCGGCTTACACCATTTTCCATCTCTTTTTTTTCTCCCAACAGTATTCAGTTGTCTGCCGTCTCCAAGCCCCCACATTGGTGTCTTACTTCTTCTTCACTCTAGCCTAATACATAAACTTTAACTATAATACTGCTTGCTTTATGATAGTATGCAAATGAGTTCCCTTTTCTTTTTGTCTCACCTTCTTGCCGGAGGGTCTGTTTCCAGTATACGTGCATAGTAGATTAATAGTAAATGTACAGGTAAATACAGACATAGTGTCTTGAATTCTTCAGGGATAAGTGACAGTGTAAGTCTAAAAGCATTTTCATGTCCTGGTACCAAAAATAAAATTTGGTGACATATTGCTTAGCTAGGCTCCATATGTATTTATATTTATTAAATTTTTAATTTAATGACTTTGTATTTATATTTCTTTTATTTTTTAAGATCAGTAAACTTACACAGAATTGTCTATTATTGTCTAAGGCTAGGAAATGTATGTTATAAATATTAAGATGTGAGCATATGTCAGTTTTCAAATCATAGGACACAATTATTTCATGTGTATGTTGACAGATCAGTCATGCCAGCAAACACTTGGTGCCTACAATGATACAATGGAAGTTAAGATTAATATATATTTTAGATCAGCTTATTCAAATAGTTAAAATTAAAATCCAGAAGATAGTACTAACCATATAAAAATATCATTAATAGAAAAATAGGTGATGTGTTCTGATTCTTTAATTTGCAAAGACACAGATTTTTCAGATGACGCTTACTTTTATCAAAAGACAATGCACTTTCAGAGGTATATATTATTTCAGAATGTTTGAATATTGAAAAAACAATAAGTAAAGGGAAAATGAATTTTAAAGACAAGCTACTGTTCAGTAATAATGTTGGTATCATGCCCACATTTGTAAATTCTTTTGAATACTAGTCCTAGCTTTTTTAAAAAAATCTAATTAATATAATAAATATAGTATGAAAATAATGCACAGTATAGCTAAAAATAAGGTTATATCATCTTCCTGCATTTCATAAAACTTTGAATTTTTATAGTGATATTATAAAATTAGAAATTTTAGGATCTTTTATAAACAGCTTATAGAATTGTTTCCAACATTAACCTTTCCTATGTTCTTTTGTTCCTGGGTTGTCATCGTATGGGCAGTCATTACACTGAATGAAACAGCTGTATTACTGGAGTCTCATTTAACACCAGGTCTTTTGATATTCTTAATTGATTAATACATTTTTCTCCGTAAAATTATGGTAAAGCACTATAATTTTCCAGCTTGTAATGAGTATTATTACAAAAAAAATCTGATTCTGAGAAAAAAATGCTTACTTTAACAATATAACCATATTCAACATTCAGATACTTTAATCCTTTAAAGTAAATTTTCTCAATATTTCTTAGGCACAGATAAAATGGGTGATTCAAATTCATCTTTGTAATTGCCATAGGATGTAATCATGATTTCACTTTCTGATTATAGCATTAGCTTTTCAGACAAATAAGTTTCTATGAAAAAGACGTCCTTGAACAAAATTAACAAATATTAAAGAAAGTACTATTCAATCTAATTCTTAAAACAGAATGTACTTAATTAAGGGGTATAAGGGACATATTTGACATCCGCAAGAAATGTTTCCAAAAAATTTAGTTTATTTTCCACAAAATGAAATAATTGTAAAACACATTGGAGTGAAACAAAATTCCACTGCAACCATAAATTGCGTGTTGGAAGAAACAAAGAGGAGTTTGCATGTGTGTAATATGTATACATAAATTATAAATAAATTAATGAGCTGACCTTGTTAGAATTTGCATTATACCTTCACTGTTAGATGCAGCCTTCAAGTGCAAAATTGCATGGCTGTATTATTTTAAAATATCCTTATTCAGATTTATCTATTAAATATATCAACTCTGTGCTTGCTAAAATTAGCTAATGAAATATCCTATAATATATCTCAACCTAATAACTAATTTACTTGCTCAAATTTCAATAAATTATCTCAATCTGCCCACTTTATTATCTGGAAAAAGGAAAAGAGTTACTTCAGTGCTTGTCAGTGACACAACAATCACAAGTTTTGATCTACCCTTGAGCCACAAAACTTAGTCTTATCTACCTTCACACTACCAAAATAAAATGTTACATACTAATATCTATGCTTTAATTGGGGGGAGGGAGGGAAATTTCATACTGACTTTATATCTCTTATGGTTACTATTTTATGTGATTAGTCAAAATGTGCTGATTTTGTGGCTAGGTATTTCACAACAAATAAACATGAATGGCTCTCCTTCATGTAGTCCCACTGGATTCTTGTAATAACCCAAGTTACTGCAGTAATTTTTCAGTATCCTTTGTTAATACAGTAGCCCTATTTTTAGAAAAGTGAATGATGTTCCTAATCAATGATAGTAATCTTACAATTCTAGATAGAACATTCAAGTAACATAATTCTCAACTAGCTATAACATACCCAAAGTCCTTGGAAATTTTAAAATTATTAATTATTTAGAAAAAACTTATTTAAAAAAAAACATTAAAATAGTGTCAGTTTGGTAGAAACGCTAAAATTCTAGGGATGATTTTATTGGTCTTCATCTCAAAAACAATCATGAAACAACATATTTGATATCAAAAAAATTTTTAGATGATAAGGAACATGAAATTAATGTCTTAAATTAACTCAAGGTAGAAATTTCCTATTGTTATCTATTAAGTTTGCACTTTAATTCTGCATTATTTGTTTTTATGTGTTTTAGAGCAAAAGATTTTCTTAAAGCTTCAGTAGGTGAAGAATCAGCAAGAGCTTTGTGATTTTGGAGCTATATAAAATGTTACATTGGTGTAAAATTATGCTTCCCTCCCTTTAACGTACTAATTTCTTATATTTTCTTTTGCTAAATGCACAGAGACTCAATGAAAAAATTTTGTTTAATAATTTAGATCTGAAACTTGCTTTTACCTTTGGAAATTTTAATTTTACAAGACAACTGAATTAAAATATGAAAAAAGCCACTTTATAGTTGTGATATTTGTCTTTTATAAGTTATGTTTAAACTAGTTTTCAATTTGTTATTTTACTTTTTCTAGGATAGCAAAGTAATATAATGTATGTGCACAAAACAGAAGTATTATTTATACGTATTTTTTTTAATTACAGGTAAAGATTATAGTTCCCAACAGCACAGCAGGTCTGATAATAGGGAAGGGAGGTGCTACTGTGAAGGCTATAATGGAGCAGTCAGGGGCTTGGGTGCAGCTTTCCCAGAAACCTGATGGGATCAACTTGCAAGAGAGGGTTGTCACTGTGAGTGGAGAACCTGAACAAAACCGAAAAGCTGTTGAACTTATCATCCAGAAGATACAAGAGGATCCACAGAGTGGCAGCTGTCTCAATATCAGTTATGCCAATGTGACAGGTCCAGTGGCAAATTCCAATCCAACCGGATCTCCTTATGCAAACACTGCTGAAGTGTTACCAACTGCTGCAGCAGCCGCAGGGCTATTAGGACATGCTAACCTTGCTGGCGTTGCAGCCTTTCCAGCAGTTTTATCTGGCTTCACAGGCAATGACCTGGTGGCCATCACCTCTGCACTTAATACATTAGCCAGCTATGGATATAATCTCAACACATTAGGTTTAGGTCTCAGTCAAGCAGCAGCAACAGGGGCTTTGGCTGCAGCAGCTGCCAGTGCCAACCCAGCAGCAGCAGCAGCCAATTTGTTGGCCACCTATGC